TAATCTCCTTCTTTTTCTCTGCACAAAAGTAAGTGATCAATTGGGCGTGAATGGAATTTGAGATGATGTAAATATGTAAAGTGAAGGCATACTTGGTAGAGCTACCCTAAAGGATTTGTTGTTGTTTGGCCAACCATTTGGCTGAGAGGGATATCCCAATCACTTAGGTCTGTACTTAGAGCAGGAGCAGTGGAAGGCTCTTCTCTCTTCTTCGCCGTGACCTCTGTCTCGGCAGGGGTACGAGTGGTAGTTCCTCTCTGTGCTTGTGTCTGCGCGGCTGCGAAAGAGTCTGCCATTAATTTCGGAACTGAGGGGGTGTTTGTCTGAGCAGTTTCATCCATTGGATCCTTGCCTTTACGTTGGTACCAACAATTACAACAAGGCCCGCAGCAGACCTCCAATAACTTTCTGCATGTGACCATTTTTCATCCAAAAACTTAACTTCCATCCATAATTGTCCTTGCCTTTACGTTGGTCCCTAACCAATGGTTCAGCAACATGCCCAATTTTGGCTGTCAAAGGTTAAACAAGTTAGTGTTGTAGAGAAAAAAAATAAAATTTGCATGACACAGTCAGGGATATGAAGTATATGAAGGAAGAATACCTGCAGCCTTAAGCTTGGAAGGCGAGGATATGGGGCCCTGATTATGAATACAAGTGTCGTGAAGGCAGGTTTCAAGTGGCTTGTAGAAAATAATGGCAGACATAAGTCCCTACCAATGGTCAAAAGCAGTCGAGCAGTCCGTAACAGGTTTGAAGAAGAACGGGCCAAAATCTTGGAAAAGTTTGGTGTTCTCTGTCAAAATGGATTCAGCTTGCGTAGGATCTTTGAAGAAGATTCTGGAGCCAATCTCCTCATGGATGGTTGGGTGGAAATAAGGATAAGGGATACCTTGGGAAAGACCTAATTGCTTGGCCCATTGATTGGGACAGTATGTCTCAAAACTGCAGTTGGACATCTTGGCGGAGGATATGGAACAGCCAACCAACACATGTCTAGAGGTGAGAATGTGTCTCCAAGTCTCATTTTGTTCTTGGACTTGCTCATTGTGTAAATCAGAAGGGTCTACGAAGAGGAAGCGAAGTCTGCTGGAGGAGAATTCAAAGTTTTGAAATGGCATGTACAGGTTGGAAGGTCTCTTCCAAGGAAGGTTGTAAAACATGGTAAGCTGATTTCTGAAAGTAAGGATGGGTTGGCTGTTATAAGTGAGCAGTTGCTCAGCATAGGAGTATAAAACAGGTTTCACGGTGTTAGCTGGTGGGGGTCGTGCCTCAGGGAAATAGGCATACAACCAAGCCTGGAAGAGCCAAAAGGGGCCACCACAGTTACCAGAAATCTTCTTGTGGACAAAGGAAAATAGGGCCTTGTAAAGGCTGGCAAGAAGATAAGGGGCTAAAGCCATAAGTTGGCCATCTTGTATACACAAGGCAAGGGGGAGGTACTCTTTCGTGATCTTGTACCCAAGGACACAAAAAAGAAACTCACAAAACCAAAGTAAGTAAAAAGCAGTTCTTTCTTTGTCGTGGACAGGGGAACCAGGCTTGCCTTTGTATTTTTGGGCGAAATCTGTATAGCATATGTCAGTGTTTAAAGTAAAGCTCACTTTTGGAGGCTCAAGGAGAGCATGAATTGGATTGCCCAAGATTGGGAGACCAGTCAAGTGAGTTACATCTAAGATGGTAGGGGAAATCATACCAAAATTGAGGAGTAGGGAGTTACAAGATTGCGACCAAAAGCATGCAGCAGCAGCAGCAATCAGCCCTTTGTCCATGTCATAGTTTTTAGTCGACAGTCTAATTGTTTCACTAATGCCCTGATGCTTCCATACTTCACCGTCGTGACCTTCAATTCTCCTGGCCCAGCTTTGCCAAACAGAGTCTGGTGACCTCCACGATCAGAGTGGGTTTTTGCTGACATTCCAGTTAGTCCACTTAAGTCCAGGTTAGTTGAGAAGAAGGTTCTCACCATTACCAAGGGGATAGTATGGAGCTAGCTCGTTTGGGAAGTAAGACGCGAAGGTAGGGCCTAGAGTAGCCTTAGCGACAGAGCTTGTGTTGGGTAATAGGGTTGCACCAAATTTTAGAGGACCGATACGTGCTCTGATAGGGTCTGGAAAGCGGAGTAGGTCTTCATTTTTCTCCTCAGATGGTGATGGTTGAGATTTTTTCGGCGCCATGGCTTAGGGCTTTGTGGTGCTTGGGTTTTGAACGACAATGCTTGAGAAGAAGGAGTACAGTCTGGAGAGTTCGAATCAGAGGGAAATGAAGTGGTTTGAAGTTGAAAGGGTGGGTCTTTTATAGTTTATGATGGGGCCCGTACTAATAAATTTACTATTGGGCCCAAACAATGGCCCCCTTGTTGAAGTTATATATCATATGACTTGGACCCCCACAAGGGCGCACCCCCATGACCCCTCTCTCTCTGATTCGCCAGTTTTTTTTTAAAAAAAAAATCTTTTTTTTTTCTTTCTCCTCCAATCACCAGCCCCTACGTGTGTGTCTGTGGGGAGGGGGGGTGCAGGTGGTGATTGGAGGGGGTCCCAATCACTTCCGCAAGGTTAATTCATATGATATTTAACTTGAACAAGGGGGCCATTCTTTGCACCAAGTTTTGCCAGTCTCTATTGACAGATAGTCCACTTAATCGAGGACACGTGGCCAAGTCTGAAGGAATGTCCACCACTTCAAAGTGGGTTCTATGCATGTGGGTCACCTAGAAGTGATGGGGGAAGTTTTTAGCACCAGTCATGAAGTTAGTGGGCACACTTTCAGGAGGAAGCATGAGACAAAGCAGGAGCCTTGCTCTGTCGACAGAAGTTTAAAACAGCTTCTGGCCATGAAATAAACACAAGAAAAGGGAGATCGACAGATAGAAGTGGAGGTTTAGTATACTTGGAAAGCTTAGAAGGGAGATCGTTGGTTTTGATATCCGTATACTGTTTTTGTGGCCCATCATGGCATGATCCCACACGTCTACACCATAACTGCCACTGTAACTGCCCCCCACTTCGAATCTTCAAGTCCCCTCTGCCAAATATTGACTCTTCCCCGTCGACCTTCCTTTTTACCATTGTGGCGGCATGTCCCTCATCATTATGAGTTAGTGGGCACACTTTTAGGAGGAAGCATGAGACAAAGCAGGAGCCTTGCTCTGTCGACAGAAGTTTCAAACAGTTGGTGGCCATGAAATAAACACAAGAAAAAGGAGATCGACAAATAGAAGTGGAGGTTTAGTATACTTGGAAAGCCTAGAAGGGAGATCGTTCGTTTCGATATCCGCATACTATTTTTGTGGCCCATCATTGCATGATCCCACACGTCTACACCATAATTGCCACTGTAACTGCCCCAGACTTCAAATTTTCAAGTCCACTCTACCAAATATTGACTCTTCCCTGTCGACCTTCCTTTTCACCATTATGAGGCATGTCCCTCATCATTATGAGACAAAAATCGACAGAATATTGTCCACTAAACACAACCACAATCCTTGCAAACTGGGCCACTGAACCGCAACACTGAAATAGGCATACAACCAGGCCTGGAAGAGCTAAAAGAGGCCACCACAGTTGCCAGAAATCTTCTTGTCGACAAAGGAAAATAGGGCCTTGTAAAGGGTGGCAAGAAGATAAGGGGCTAAAGCCATAAGTTGGCCATCTTGCATACACAAGGCAAGGGGGAGGTATTCCTTCGTGATCTTGTACCCAGAGACACAAAAAACAAACTCACAAAGCCAAAGTAAGTAAAAAGTAGTTCTTTCTTTGTCATCGACAGGGGAACCACGCTTGCCTTGGTATTTTTTGGCAAAATCTGTATAGCACATGTCA